CAATTCACATAGTTCCTGCTTGAGACTGGTTTTCGAGAACATATAACACCTCATTGATATTCCTCACTATGATTCCATCTTGTAGATTTGAGTCCCATTTGGATTGCTCATCTTACCTTAAAAGATGACAGTGTCTTAATAAAACAGCAAAAAATGTGCATTTTCCCCCCTATAAACACCCTGAACATAAAATGCAAAATAATGAAGTTCAGGCTGAGTCACCAAATGGAACTTTTATTTACTGTGCAGGCATGATGCATCATGGTATTCAATGGAGACATCATGAGCAGAGTGGTGCTTACCTACAAAGACAGATCCTCAAATTGTATGTTTGCCTTTCTGGGGGCTGCAGAAGCTCCCGGATTTCTTTGGACACCGTCAGCTCATAGCATTTTAGCCCTTGAGGTAGATGCTAAGGCTGTATGAATTTTGCCAGCTGTCTATCAAACAGTGTACTGTGTGCACATCTTAACATTACCCAAGAGTCACTCACACTATTCATATTACTCTCGTAAGAAATGTGATGGAGGAGCTTCCCGGTAGTTAGGTCCTTGTGTCTCTTTCAGGCTGTATATTCTGGTCTCATGGTCTGTCCTGGCCTGGTAATCCTATCTGCTCCCGTTGTGTCGGAGCTTCATCTTCCTCATGGCCCCAGCCCATGTGCTCCTTTTTGTCATTAAAGTTCTCAAAGCAAAAATCACGGGGCACTTCAACTCCCATGGAGACCATTGTCATCTCAGAGGTTGGCACTTCCATCTGTCAACTCCCCCAAACACCTGAAGTGGGTGGTTGCAGATCTCACAGGAATTCAGCCGAGCTGTGCAGGTGATCACTGGTGCAGGGGGCATGTGAGGGAGTTGAGATGAGTGTCTGGTGGGATCCAGGTGCCCAGCAACATTCAGAACGGTGGCTTCCCTATCTGGACTGGTTATAATAAACTGGACAACACCCCCTTCCTCACCCAGTCAGCTGCCAACCCCAGTGGACAGTGGGTGTGAACAGGAAATCAACTGTAAACAGACAAGCTGCTGAGAAAGGGGGCTTGTTTGTTACTTCAACAGAACTAGTCCATCCTGACTGATGCCATCTGGCCTAGACAACACTTAGTTCAAAAAAATGTTTCTAATCCACCCCCCACCCCCCACCATTCACACATACAAAAAATGTCAACTCTTGAGGGTAGGGATTTTGTTTTCTTCACTGCCAAATGCTTCCCGGTACATAATGGCCATTCTTTGTTCAATGAAGGAATGTTAGTGAACAGTTTTTATTTGTTTGCTTTACTTGAGCACTGGCAGGACACTGGGTGAAATAGCAGGTTTGGGGAGGAATTAGAATTTTGAGTTTGGACAAGATTAAGGACCCTGAATAATAAGACTGTCGTTTTCAGCAAGTTTTCCTTAATGTGCTTTCTGGCCTGGGGGCACTTATGCCCACCGTTCTGTCCCTCAGTCCTCTCCCCCTAGATGAACAATGTTCTCTAGCTCCCATTTCCCACTGCAAAGGCTGGGATCAATCTTCTGGCTTCCAAGTCGACATGCGAGGTGTCAATCTTGCTCTCTCAGAGATGAGGCTCAAGCAGCCATCCTGTGAGGGTTTTGCCAGGGACAGAGTCAGTGCCTAAGTCCAGGCTGGAACTAGGATCTCTAAAGGGGAAAAGGAAGCATTGCTTCACATCATAGAACCTGCCCATCTGTGTTCCCAGATGGCTTCTTGTGGAACATGCAGAAAGAAGCCCTCTGGTTGGGGTTGGAGAAGATGTAGATTGCTTGATGGTGACTTCTGTGTCTCTGTGCACATGGAAACCCTTCCCACATTGCTGGGCTTTGAAACAGAACCATCAGGAAGGATAGAGCCTCTGTCTCCAGTCTCTGTGGGAGGACAGAATCCTAACTTCAATAATTACTAGCTAGCAGACACAGCTGGCCTAATTATATTTACACTGATCAACCCTTTGTAATTTTTCTCATGAGCTCTGCCTCTTTCTCCTTTCTGATCCCCTCATTCTTCCCTCTGCACAAATTCAAATGGAACTCAGTTATTTCCCCTGCTGTCAGCAGTTACTGAATAAAATGTTTTCACTGTTTTAACTAATATTTGGGTTTGTCTTTAACACCTCCAGTAAATTACTCATCCAGAAAACTCCTGTACATTTGTGAGAAAATAGGAGTGGGGAAAAAAGTATTATTAGGAACTTAGTTTTGAACTCACTGACTCATAGAAAGGGTCTTAGGAACCCCCAGGGTGTCCCTAGCTCACACTTTGAGAATGATGGCAATTGACAAAACCCTATAATATAATCAAGGAGAAAACAAAAGTACAAGTAGTAGAAAGGAAAAAATTAATAGGGAAACATAGTGCATTGACCATTCAATACCATTATAACCGGGAGGAAAAGTTGAGCCCAATGATTCCAAAATAAATACACGAGCTGCTCCAAAGGAGAAGACAATAGACTCAAATGCCCCCACCCCCTACCGTCACCACCACTTACTCCATCCTCTGGGAAGCTGCAGCTAAGGGGAAGGCCATACATCCTCCTGGGACCTTTTCTGCCCACATAGAGGTCCCGCCTGGCAATTTTTTTGGGCTCCCAGTAGAAGCCAGATTCGGTCCGAGGAGGCTGCCTGATCCATGATTCTCACAGCAGCCACTGCCACCTGCTCAGATGAGTGAAGATGTCTTACACAGGCTCCTCTTAGGACTGCTGACCCAGTAGGGCTGGGCCCTGGGCGGGGTGGCGGGAAGACAGCCAGCACAGAGCAGAGCAGTTGCTGGACTGCGAGGGAGGGAGTGAGAGGCAGGCCCTGAGGACCAGGATGGGTAAGTGTGGACACCGCGAGCCCCTTGGAAGCCAGCTGCTCCATCCCCGCCACTGTCGTCCACGTCTTTATCACGTGCGCAGTTGATTGTCCTTCTCTCCGCCCCCCACCCACCGTAAACCCCGTGGGCGCAGGCGCGCATCTATTCTCTTCATGTGTGCCGTTCTGACACACACTTAACGGTCAAATAAATATGATTCGACTGCATCCTGGTGAACATCTTCCTTTTGCTTCTGCCTTTTAAATAAACTAAAATGACGTATGCACAGGGACAATACGAGCACAAGTCGAGAGTGAACATCAGCTCTCAAACAGCTTGTGGCCCCTTCCAATCACTAACGCCCCCCTCCATCTACTGTATTAACAAAACTTTTAAGTGTTCACGTAATTTTGATGCACAGAAACTTGTTTTGAGGAAAGCGAGAAGCCCTAGCCTCGTCCAGTGCGTTAGCCAGGCCCTCCGGGTCCCTCCGTGTTCATGCTCATTTGTAAGGACCTGCAGGAGGCAGGCGCGGTGTGCCGCCACCAAGGCGCCGCTGCTGCCCAGACGCGTACCCGCAACGGCTAGGCTGGGACGATGGCGGCCCCATGACTCGAGTACCCTCCGAGTGCGCCACGCGCCCTTCGAGCGCACGGAGATGCCCGAGCGCTCAGCAGCCCAGGGTAACCGCGGATCACCACCGCCCACTATCTACTCGCCCCCTTTGGCCGGAACCTAGAGGGCGGAGGCTCCCATTGGCCGAAAGCTCGAAGAACGAAGGCTTTCATTGGCTGGGCGTTGAGGCGCCTCGTACAGCCTTCTGGTAGTTGTAGTCTCAGCGTCGCCGGCGCAGCCGCCATTGTTCGGCTGGCGGCTAGTCGACAGGTCTCTGTGGCGTTAGCGGCCCTTGGGTTTAGGGTCGCCTGGGACGTCTGTCCTCAACCTGTCGGTCCAGGATGGACACCGAGGAAGAAGCGGCAGCACTGACTATGTCTAAGGGGCCGCCGGCGGAACGGCTTCAGGTAACAATAGTAACAACGCTGGCAGCGGGCCCCAGGCCAAGGGTCTCCCGCAGATTGACCCTTACACCCTCTCAGCGCACGGTGAACGGAGCACCGCGTTGTCCGCCTTTACACACGACTGAGCTGAGGCGCCAGCGGGGCCGCGCGGACGGGCCCGGCTGGTGAGGGTGGAGTGGGGGTCCGTTTCTGGGCCTTCGGGTCCCGAGTAGTGCGCATGCTCCGCGTGCCGAGGCCACCTTGTCTCGGAGGGGCTGAGCGCCCTTCCCGAGGACGCGCTGGCCGCTCCCGCCCATACCCTTCCCCTGCCCCTGCCCCGATGGCCACCGTGCTGATGGGCGACAGGGACGGGCGTCGGCCGAGCTCCAGGGTGGCAGGTATTATCAAATAGAGGTGCTTTAATGCGTGGAGCGAATAGACACCCACCGGGAGCCGCTCTCTGCCGAAGCCCCTGCCCTGGGGGCGGGGCACAACCTCGGTGTAATGACAAGTGGCCACGCCCCGCGTCAGTGGGGGCAGGAGCGACTACCAGGGGCCCCTTTCCGCCCGTCCGCGGGGCCGATGGGGAACTGTAGTATCTGGGGGTCAGTCACTGCGAGGCGTTTTGGAAGGCGACTGATTCAAAGCTCCAGCAGTTCTAAACAAAAGTGGCCGCTGCCTGTGTTCTCCATAAAGTGCTGTCTGCACGTGGCAAGAACCAAAATTCAGAACTCCTGAAGCTCCACATCAATGCAATTTTGTGTTTCTTATTTCTGTTTTGTTTTTTATTATGGGGCTTTGCATTACTTCAAATTTGATATGCAAAATGAGACTTGATAGTCTTAGATTTGCATGTTTTCTTTCACACGCTTAAATGTGTGCTGTTGAGATAGAACCACACTTTAGTTTGCTTTTGCTATGGATTTGTGTGTGTGTGTGTGTGTGTGTTGGGTGGGGTGAGGTAGGAAGTGAGCAGTGTCAAAAAAAAAACGGCTGGGTAGTAGTTAAAGCAGTAAAAACAGGTTTTATTCAGGGACTGTTGCAACAGGAGGAAAGAGACATCAGTATAGAACTGGGCTCAATTCTGAATAGGACAAGGAAAAGTGGGGATTTATAGGGAGGTTGTGGGGGTGATTCTTGCTAAACTGACCTGAGGGAATTCTTGCTGCAGCAGGCCTAGTGATCAGATACTACCTGGAGGATTGTGTGCGATGAGAACTTTGAAAAAATGCAGAGAGTGATCAGATATTGAGGGTGGGGATTCTGGTTACCCCCCCCCATTTTTTTTTCCTTTTATTTTTTTCCCAAGGGGACAAGTGGCATTGACAGGAAATTGACAGGAAATTTAATAAAACCGGATGATGCAAAAATGGACACAGAAGCCCAAAGGTCGAGGCCTAGCTGAGAAGACGATTCAGAGGAGCCAGACTAAACCTTGGTTGAAAAGAGAGTCTTTGTCAGCAGTAAAAGAGGCTTAAGAGCATGTGTGTTAACTGTTGCTGTGTAACAAACCAAAACTAGTTGACCTAAAACAACAGTAAATACTGTCTCAGTTTCGATGGTAGAAATCCTTGAGTGGCTTAACTGGTGGTTCTGACTAGGGCTCGTGAGGTAACAGTTACGATGTTGGCTTGGACTGGTGTCAGGTGACTCTTGACTGGGGCTGGAGGATGCGTCCCCAGGATGGCCCCCTCACATGGCCGTTGGCAGGAGTTCCTTCCCCTGTGGGCCTCTCCGTGGAGCTGCTTGGCCATCCTCACAACAACCTGCGTCTTCCCTCAGAATGAGTGACCCAGGATAGGGCAAGGTGGACACCACAATACGTTTTGTGATCTGGGTCAGAGTTCACACTCGTCATTTCCACAGTATCCCACTAGCTGCACAAATCAAACTGCTCAGTGTAGGAGGGACTACACAAGACCTGGGGATCACTGGGGGCCATCTTGGAGGAGGCCACCATTGGAGGGCTTTCAGTGCCAGCATATTAGCTTCCTATGGCTGCTATGACAGATTACCACATTTGGTGACTTAATATATGTCTACTTCTCCAGCTGTGGAGATCAGAAGTCTGAAATTGGTTTCACTGGGCTGAAATCAAGCTGTGGGCAGAGCCCCCTTTCTGGTAGATTCCTCGCCTTTTCTGGCTATCAGAGCTGTAGACCTTGCATTTTTTGGCTCATGTCCAGCAGCGTCTTGGCATTGGTGGTCACACTGCCTTGTGCCTTCTGTAGGTAGATCTTCCTCTGCCTTCCCTTTAGGAGAACATTTGTGGTGGCACCTTGGGCCCACCTGGAAAATCCAGGATAACCTCCCCATCTTAAAATCCCTAGTCACATCCTCAAAAAAGTCCTTTTTGCTATTTATGGTAACATCTACAGGTTCTAGGAATTAGGACATGGATGTCTTTGGAGGTCATTATTCAGCCAAACAGCCAGGCTGAAAGGGTTTGTCATGTATCCAAAGGTGAGGAGGAGCCATTCAGATGTTTTAAGTAGGAATGAAATGGCTTTGAGGACAACCATTCAGGGGTCTGGTGGTAGGGGTAGGAAAAATACTGAGTGCTAAGGCACTGGGAAGAGGGTGTGGCCAGCTGCCAGTGTGGCCGGGTCAGCTGTGGGAGAGTATGTGGAGGAGAGGGGTCTGACATGCCCATCCCTCCAAGCCCCAACCATTTGGAGCAGAGGAGGGCTGCAGGGGTCTGAGGCGGAGCAGCAGAGAGGGTACGAAACAGCAAGGAGTGGGCCCCTGCCGGAACTAGCAGGGATGAAGAAAGACTCATGTGATGCCACTGAGAAGTCTGGTGACCTGGACAGACATGACTCGGTGGACCTGGCACCTGGGCTGTCACTAGCAACCCATGCAGAGTGGGTTATGGCAGGTAGGGGCAGGAGGCACAGAGAGCCTGTCTCAGGGTTAGAGAACTTTTTTTTTCCCCCAAGGGGACAAGTGGCATGGCTTGTCAGTGCCTGAGCCAGGATCAGAGGGCAGAGAGGTTTGCAACTCCTGCAGCTTAAGGAGACCAGGTTGCACTCTTCCAGGACAAGAGCAGATGTCCTGGGGAGCAGAAACCAAGGGACAGGAGTGAGAAATGCCACAATGGCAAAACTCCTCCCAGTGGCAGTTGGGGGCTGCCTCGGCTAGAGGATTTTTTGAGTGAAGTGATGATACAGGGACAAAGCAGAGACCTCTGCTTGCAACTGAAAGGTTCTGTTTGTGTCTGCACAATTTTTGCCAGAGCCACATGCCACCCATACTGTAATTTCTGTATTAATTTTAAATCTACTCGTGGTGTTGTTAAAAGAAAACTTTTTAATTGAGTATTTGGTATGTGGTTTTGATTAGCATTTCCTTGGTGGCTAATAATGTTGAGCATATTTTCATGTACTTATTCACTATTTTTACCTTTTTTTCTTTTATCTTTGAAGAATACCTGTTTAGACCCTTTGCCCATTTTAATTGGTTTGCCTTTATTATTGAGTTCAAAGAGTTCTTTGTAGCCTCTGTATACAGGTCTCTTACCAGTTACCTGATTTGCAATTATCTCCCATTATGCAGATGTCTTTCCCCTTTCTTGGTAGTGTGATTTAGAGCACAGAATTTTTAATTTTATTAAGGCAATTTATTTTTTCTTTTGATGTCATATCTAAGAATGCTTTGCCGTATTTCAAGGTCATGAAAATTTCTCTCTTTGTTTTCTGGTAAGATTTGAATAGTTTTAGCTCTTACATTTATGTCTTTCATCCATTTTGAGTTATACTTTGTATATGGTGTGAGGTGGGGGACCAACTTTATTCTTTTGCACGTGGCTAGCCTGTTGTGTTGTACGAAGGGTTTTACAGCCTCTTGTTCCTCATCACTGCCCCCACAAAGTGATACTTCATAGACAAGGAAGCGGGGCAGAAGTGGGTACCTGTACTGTGCCTCTCGAGGAGGAAGTGGCAGAGTCAAGACTCTGATCCAGAAATGTCTAGCTTTCGACCATGGCCACAGCCAGCCCACAGAAGAGTTTCATTTGTGGGACACATTTCAGAGACATTTCATCAATTTACAATTATTTAACTTTAATTAAACTTAATTTCATTTTTAAATTTCACTTAAAAATATGACCTAATTTTCAGCTTCTCACCAGAGATAGGTAGTTCTGACCACATCTGGTCTGCCTTTCCCTGCACTCAGTTGGCTCTGAGTCCTGGATGCCCCTCAGACAGGCACGTATCGCCCGTGATCAGCAGCGGCCCCTCTCGCGCACTGAGCGCCCTGGGAAGCTTTGGCTCTTACACTGGCCCACTTCAGTTACCTGTGCGCCTGCCCAGGCCCTGAAGGCAGGGAGATTTCTGACTCTAACTGTACACTCCTTTTTTCAAGGAGGATGATAAGCCTTGCTTTGAATCTGAGGATTAGTTAGTGCATCAATTAGCTGCTGCTGCACAATAAACTATCCCAAAACTGGTGGCTTAGAACAATAACCGTTTCTTTAGGTCTGCAGGGCTGCAGTTGGTCTGTGTTGGCACCCTCAGCTCTCTGAGGTCAGTCGTAGGTCAGTTGTAGCTGGCTTCGGCCTTGCCTGGATACTTTCGCTTGTCCTCGCTGCTACAACCCCCACTGACCTGCACAGCCTAGGAGGTGCCCAGTGCGGCCTGACTCACATCACTCAGAATGTGCGCTTTCTCAGGACACTGGCCTGCTGGTTGTCTTCCCCATTCCTCCTCCTCTTCCCAGACTACCTGACTGAGAGTGTGTGTGATGTTTCAGGAGCCGGTGACCTTCCGGGACGTGGCTGTGGACTTCACCCAGGAGGAGTGGGGGCATCTGGGCCCTGCCCAGAGGATCCTATACCGTGATGTGATGCTGGAGACCTTTGGGCACCTGTTGTCTGTGGGTAAGGCCCCATTTCCAAGCTGCCACTCAGATTCCTGCAGCGACCTGTGCATGGATTATAGGCCATAGGCCTCTGGTATGAGGACTTAACCTTGGGCTGGGGGTCAGGGGCCTTGCATTCCCATCCGTGGGGAACACACTGCGGGGAGGGGTGTGTGGAAGGCGTCTGTCCCAGTGCAGAGACTCCACTTGGTCGTGAGGTGTCCCTGTGTCCCGACAGTCAGGAGTCGGAGACCGGAGCCTGAGCTGCTGCTCTCCCTCCAGACCAGACCCCCACATCCTGTGTCTTTCCGTGTTTCTAGGGCCTGAGCTTCCCAAACCTGAAGTCATTTCCCAGCTGGAGCAAGGGGCTGAGCTGTGGGTGGCGGACAGAGGACTTGTCCAGGGCTCTTGTCCAGGTGAGAACCCTCCAAAAGGGAATCCCTAGTGAGAGCAGCCCAGGAGATGACTGCAGATGGTCTGTGTGGAAAGGGTGGTGTATTGGGGTCCCCCAGACCAACCACAGATCCAGTGATCACAGCAAAAGGATGAAGGGAAAAGGCGGATGGGGTGAAGCCCGGAGAAAGCCGAGCACAGGCCCCCAGAGCCCCTCCGGTGGGGTCTCACTGGACATTCTTGGTTGCCCAGCAGTGAGTTGTGACATGTGAGCTACCAGAGAAGCTTATTAGAGGCTCAGTGCTGGGTTTTTAATGGGGGCTGGTTATGTTGGCACCCTTTGACTGGACCTAACTAAGATTCCAGACACCTAGGAGAAAGCAGGTGTTCACCCTGAACCCTATTGTTGGCACAGCAAGGGCACGGCGAGCCACTTTTATAAGTTAGGATGGTGGGAACCTTCCAGAAATCCACGTTCCCACGTCCAGCCAGGGGCCAACCTTGAAAGCTGGCCCATCTAAGGATGGCAGCCTCAGGCCTGCCCTGTCAGCTTTTCCCTGCACAGCTGGTCGGGTGCTGCCCTCCAGATGCTTGCCTGGGGTGCGCCCCTTGCTCCTTGTGCTCCTCGACTTGTGCCCCTCATTCTCTGGGCCCAGAGACTGTCCGCCGCTCTCCTCCCCAGGGGCCACGTCCCACGTCCGCCTCCCTCCCTTGCTTCCTCCCCCGCAGCCCTCCCAGCGGGCCCTCCCACAGGACCATTTTTGCATGTGAACTTGTCCTTCATCGTCTCCATTTCATTCTTGGACGTCTGTGAACCAGTTCTCCACACCCTTCTTCTCTTAGCAACAAGGATTGTGTTTGGCTGTAAATACCTAAAAACGGCTACAGCAGCTAAAAGAAGAACACAAAGTGGGAACCCAGAGGCATTCCACTGCCAAGGGCTGATGGTTCTGATTCTTCCTGCCTTTCCTAGGGACTGGTGTGGCTGCAGCACCTCTGGCCATCACATCTGTGGTCCAGGCAGGGAGAGAGAAGTGGGAAGAATGGTACCATCACATTAGTCCCCTTTTATTAGAACTCTGGACGTCATCCACTGAGGTTTCTTTAGGCAGGACCAAGTCACATCCCCCAGCCCTTGGCCCTGCTACTAGGCGTGCTGGAAAGGGGGCCCTACGTTGTCCTAATTTACTTAGGCCAGCCCCCTTGGGCTAAGGGTCGGGGCTTCACTTCCTTGCAGCTGATGCATGGGTACTCTGACCACATGCTGCAAGAGGCGGGCTGTGGTCACAGGATACACAGCCAGCAGACCTGCTGCAGGTCAACCTCCCAGAGCTTTCTGATCTGCGGAGAATCACATGGACCTCCATAATGGGGCATGGGCCACTCCCCTGGGGTGGGGGTGAATCTGCAGTGGACACAAGCTGTGGAGGCAGTGGAGCCTGAGGTGTCCTGTACTTCTGACATCCTCCAGCCCCAGGAGCTCGTGTACATCCCCTGGGCCCTGAGCTCGCTATGGGCTTCCACAGTCCTAAGCATGCCACACATTTCATTCATTTAAATAATACAGTTTGGGGTATATTCACAGATGTGCATCCATAGCCACTGTCTAGTTCCAGAACATTTTTATACCCCTAAAAGACACCTGCTAACAGCACTGTGATTTGTTTCTACTAACAGAACACTTGCAACACCAAATGCATGGGTTTTTTCTGTACTGACATCCAGTTCTCCTGCTCTCCAGGCATTAGTTGGATATCCAGTGATTGAGTCTAGTTCTGATGATGTCTGCCTGGAGGTAGCACAGACCCCCCAGTGCTAACTAGGACTCAGTCCCACAAGACTGCCTCCACTCCAGAGGCCAGTTGCATTCAAGGCCTCCCATACTTATGACCGACTGGCTCTAAATTGGGGATCTATTACACCCTCTTCAGGTTGAGCAGTTTGCTATAACAACAGCTCATAAACCTCAGGGACTCACCCTCTTAACTTTTAGCAGTTTATTTATAAATAATGTCATAAAGGTACAAGTGAACCACCAGTTGCCGGGGCTGGGGTCTGCTGCCTGTGGAGGTGAAGCAAAGGACCAAGGAATCCGGGCAGCCCCTAGAAGCTGGGAACGGCGAGGGAACGGGTCCCCTGCTAGAGTCTCCAGAAGAAGTGAGGGCCTGCCCAGCCCTTGGCCGGAGGGCTTCTCTCTCCCAGAGCTGTAGAGACGGAGTGTGCGTTTTAATGTGCTGACTTCACAGTAAGTTAGAGCAGCCATAGGAAACTACCACATCTTTGTTTCACTGTACGTCAGGGAAGGGCCTGTGCCTGCCTGGGTGTGAAACTTGTGCTGGAGGATCCCAGCTGGGGGGCTGGTCCTCCTAAAGATGTCCTGAAGACGTGAGGGCTCCTCCACTTTGGTATCCGGCCTCTCAAACCTAGGTTTTCTGAACCTGAACTCCTCACCTCTGCTCACAGCCTGCTTCCTCTATGCTTTGTTCCCTGTCAGCCTCCCCAGTCCCTGAGGGCAGGGCTTTTTATCTGTTGGGGTCACTGCTTTATCCCCAGCATCTGGGACCGAGATAGTAAATATTTTAGGCTTTGTGGGCCATGTGCTATTGCTGCTAATAACAAATTACCACACACCTAGCAGGTTAAAACAACGCACATTTATTGTGTCACAGTTCTCAGTCAAACCTGACTGGTTTATCTGCTCTGGGTCTCACAGACCAGAATTGGCCAGGCAGAGGGGCTTGGGAAGAATCTGAATCCAGGCTTGGGCAGACTGTTGGCAGTATTCAGTTCTGCACAGTTGTAGGATTGAGGTTCCTGTTTTCTTGCAAACTATCAGCTAAGAGTTGTTCTCAACTTTGAGAGACACCTGCACAGCTATCATCTCCCTTCCACTTACTGCTGCTTTTAAAGGCTCAGGGTTACTTTGGGCCCACCAGAAAGCCCAGCATCATCTTCCTGTATTAAGGCTTAAGGTCAGCCGATGAATGACCTTCACGTCACCTACAAAGTCCATAGGAATGCCTAGGTGAGTGTCTGGTTCAGTAGCCCAGGGCAGCTTTCAAAATCTGCCTTTCTGTTATATATTCTCCTATTTTGTATAGACTTCTTTTTTTTCCCTGTAGACCTTTAAAAACACGAAATCCATTTGTTTGGGGGCTGTAGTTTGCCAGCCCCTGATCTAGACCAGTTCCTGGGCCCAGGGGATGTGCTCAAGGTGTTTTCGTTGAATGAATGAAAGGGTGAATTTGTGTTTGTGGACGAGGCACTTGGTGTCGACATAAGCAGAATTGGGATTTGCCTGGAAGTAGGGCAAGTAGTAAGGACATAGGCCCAGTGTGTTGGGGACTTGTCGCCCTCTCCCATGTTTTTTCCCCTATATTTCTCTTTGATTTTCTTTCAGTGTGGGAGTCTGGACCTGAAGGCCAAGTGTCACCCAAGGAGGGCCTTCCTGAGGAGATGCCATCCGTTGTCATGGAAAAGGATGGCTTCCTGAGAGATGCTCCCTGTCCCACCACACTCAAGGAAGATTGGGAGTGTGAGGGCCAGGTACAGGTGCCGGAGAAGAACCAGGATGATTTGAGGCAATTGGAATTTAGCCTCGAGGAAGCATCAGTTCACGATAGAAGCTACCAAAGTCTCAGTCTTGGGGAAAACTATGTCCTGAGTTCAAACCTACATCCACTTCCAGAAATTTCTAGGAAAGAGTATTTCTGTACTGACTCACAGGTTACCAGCCCAGAACATAACTCAAGCTTAGTTAGTCAGCAGTCAGGCTCTGCAGGAATGGAGCCATGTGACAGCAGTGACTATAGCAAAGCGTCCAGTCAGGCTGTGTCAGTTACGGAATTTACACAAAGCCAAGCACAGGATAAACCCTACAAGTGTGTGGACTGCGGGAAGTCGTTTAACCATAATGCGCACCTCACAGTGCATAAGAGGATCCACACAGGAGAGAGACCTTATATGTGCAAAGAGTGTGGGAAAGCCTTTAGCCAGAACTCCTCCCTGGTTCAACACGAGCGAATCCACACGGGAGACAAGCCCTATAAATGTGCCGAGTGTGGGAAGTCTTTCTGCCATAGCACCCACCTCACTGTCCATCGAAGAATCCACACTGGAGAGAAACCCTATGAGTGTCAGGACTGCGGGAGGGCCTTCAACCAGAATTCATCCCTGGGACGGCACAAGCGGACGCACACCGGTGAGAAGCCGTACACCTGCAGTGTGTGTGGGAAATCCTTCTCGCGGACCACGTGCCTGTTCCTGCATCTGAGGACTCATACTGAGGAGAGGCCCTACGAGTGTAACCACTGTGGGAAGGGCTTCAGGCACAGCTCCTCCCTGGCACAGCATCAACGAAAGCATGCCGGGGAGAAACCCTACGAGTGCCGCCAAAGGCTCATCTTCGGGCAGACGCCAGCCCTGACCAAGCAGGAGTGGGTGGGAGCCCTGGACTGTGACCCAGCTTTGAATCCAGAGGAGAGGGCTCACCGGAGTGACAGGCCCTTTAAGTGTAGCCATTGTGGGAAGTGTTTCAGTCAGAGCTCACACCTCATCCGACACCAGGTCACTCACACCAGAGAGGAGCCCCGTGGACGGAGCAGACGGCGGCGCGAGCAGCCCCGTGGACGGAGCTCACACGTGGGTCGACATCAGCAGACACACTCAGGCGAGAACCCTGGGGGTGGGACAAAGGCAGCACAGCCTGCAAGCAGGACACTTGCCTTGTTTGACATCCATGAGATCATTCAAGAGAAGAACCCGGTGCGTGTCATCGGGGTGGAGGAGCCTCCTGTGGACTCTTCTGTGCTGTTTGACATCAGAGAATCCTCATAAGAGGATAAACTCTACAGAGGACTTTGGAACCCCAGGCACAAAAATGTGGTAAGTCCACATAGTGCACTTACAGAAAGGGGGCTGGGGGTACAAATGCCAAGGTCACCTCTGATTTCCTGAGGAAATGGTGCTTCCCGAACACCTAACATTGATGGTCCCCAGATCCGTCGAGCCCAATGCCCCCTTTAACCACAGGTATTTTGTATTGTTCCTTCTATTATGCCGAAAGGAACTCATGGGTTACATGACCTACGCACATGTGAATGTCAAAAAATAGATATATGGCCCCATTTTGTATACGATGATTAAAATGAAAAGAGTTCATGACAGAGTAATGTTTCTGGCTTGGTCTGGTATCTCTCCATGTGACTGGTGGGCCATTACACCCAGAAACCTAAGGCATTACCTGTTTGATGTCTGGTGCAGGGGTGATGGTGTTGGCCGTGGATATATTGTCAGGGCCGTTCCTGTATGGGATGTGATTTTCCAGAGTGGTGACTCTTAGGAAGTTTTGAACAACACAAAATGCCGTTGTGCATTTCTGGAAAGTTTGTATAAAATTCTAAGCATGCAGGAATTAATTTGTGTTTATATGTGAAGTGGACTTAGGATTCTGAAGGACCTTTAAAGGATATGGACAGGTTGTTTCACACATACATACCTGCTCTCCAGGGGCCAGTTTTGCTCTTCACAGTCATTAGAGATGCTTGGTCCCCACCCAGGTTAGCCACACTCATGCCCAAATTGGAACAAGCCTCCTTGAAATTCTACAGCCTTCCTTGGGAGTGTCACAGCCCCTATAGATGACTATTGCCTCTACGGTTCTGAATAGCCAGTGTTGCTATAAGCTGGAGGTTCTCGATTGGTGGTTTTGGCCACCATGAAACATTTGGTGATGTCTGGAGACATTTTTGGTTGTCATGACTTGCAGAAAGGAGGGGTACTGCTGGCATCTAGTGGGTAGAGGCCAGAAATAATGAACATACTACAATGCCCATGATAGTCCCCTCCTCAAAGAAGCATCTGGCCCTACACATGCTGTGATAGAGAAACCGTGCCCAGCGCTCCAGCCACTTTTGTCCAAATTCTGTATATTGATCCGATCAGACCTATATTAACAATCTTATACTTCTGATTTTAAGAATGTTATCATTAGTTTATACGCAATGTGTTTTTCAGTAATTTTTTCAGATTTGTAGCATTCATAATTGTCATGAAGAAAGGAAGAGAATCTGCTTGTTTTTCTGAGTCGTCTAAATGTTAGCATTTTATTGTGGACATGGTGAAACATGGTTAATAAATTTCACTGGTACTCTATCTGCGACAGGATAATTTTCACATTAGTCCCAGAAATCACGTTATTTTACTAATTTTAGTGACTTTATCTTTCCGTATATATGTATCTATATTCAGAAAAATGAGGACTTTCAAATATATATGAAACCATGTCGGTCCGTGGGGGCAAAACCGTTTTCGTAATCGTCTCGATGCATCGTTAGCCTCTTCACCACGCTGATGTGCGTACTGAGGGCACAAAGCGGTGGTGGGTGAGACTGCAGAGGGCCTGCGTGCGAATTAGGGCAGGGGCCCCAGCGGTGGTGTTCGTGCTCCTCCTGACCAGGCATTTAAGAAAGAAAAAACAATGTTCACTTCACCTACGAATGTCTGTGATGGAGCAGGAAAAGTTGTTAATTTTATTAAATCTCCATAAAACTATATTGCCATTATTACACTTGAACTGAAATAACTGATTCCTCAGGACACCATGCTCAGATGTTCTTTGTTCCCTCATAAATGTTTTGTTTTTTTGTTTGGTTCTAATCACGATCTAAATAAGATTCGCACAGTGCATTTGATTAATATTTTTCTTAGGTCTATTTATCTATAGGTTTCCCTTCTTTTTTAGTCTTTTGTTTGTTGGTGAAGAAAAAACAACAGAATAACCTACATTTTGTCCCCAAGCTGACCCAGCCCACCAGACTCTCCTTGCTTTAGCCTGGTGGGCCAAAGTGGCAGCTCCCAAAGGAGCTGAGTAGGTGCTGAATCCTCCGAGTAGACGCTGGGTGGGCTGAGGTCATGACAGCCTCCCTGGGTTGGCTGGGAGCAAGCTTGTCGCTGCAGCAGAGATCTTTTGCAAATTGTCCATGCCTCATTTTAGGTCACATTTTCTAGGCATAATATTCCCACTTATTTCCTTACAAATATTAAATAACTGCTCAGGGGAAATTACTATAAAATAGAGAAAATACTTCATTTTCTCAGTTTATAAAAGTAATGCAAATTCTTTGTAACACAACTTGGAAGATGCATTAAAGTAAAAGAATACACAAAAATATGAAGATTAACTTAAAATTTAATTCCTCATACTTCTACCATCTAGAAATGTTCATTACCACTAAGTTTGTTAGCTTTCCTTTGTAATTTTTTTCTTAAAGATATATGTGCGTGTATATACATATTTTTTATACTACGTCTTATGCACATAAACATGTAGTTATTTTGTATTTAGAAAATTGAAATCCTTTCTAATTCTCTTGTAGATGTAGACACATATTGCTTACTGTATTTTGAGCATTCTCCTCTAACAATGGATTTCGTGTCATTTTTAAAATTATCTTTTAGGAGAATTGTAGCAATGTGACTTCAGTGAACATTTTACCAGCCTTGACTCTTATCCAAAAGAGGGAAGAGGGTTTCCTACACAGTGTGAATTGATACAGCATCTTTGGAGGGCTGTTCATTTGCCATCTAAATTTCAAATACTCAGCAAACCCATTGCTGAGACTGAATTCCACAGGCATATTTATTTGTATGTGTGCAGCTGTTTGTACATGGTCTTCACTATGGTATTTATTTCAAAAGTAAAAATTTGGAAATAACCTCAGTGTCCACCATGGGGAACTTGCTAAGTGATTTATGGTGGAACACAGAACTATACAGCCTTAAATATAGGGACTGTTTTTATGTACTAATGTGGGAAAGAGCTCCAAGATAACATTAGGTGAAAAGATGTAAAACTTGTATATGGTGTGTTTCCATCTTTGTAAAGAGGAAGTGTTTGCATACACACACACACACACACACACACACACACACATGCTTTGAAAGATAAAAAGAAAGCAGGCCCACTAGTTGCTCTTGGGGAGGAGAAATGAGGGGAATGGGATGAGGAATAACTTCCATTCTACGTCTTTTGATATTTTTTGAATTTTGAAATAAGAATTACCCGTTCAAAAAATAAAGAATCTCAACTCTTTCAAATTAAAGTAAGTTTGGTGTTTTATTTCATTGTTTACTGTCAGTCTCCCCGTATTAAATCATCCACATGACTATATTTCTTGCCACACCTGTTCTGTATTTATGTATGTGCTGTGTGTGTATTGATGGAACCAGTTAAGTGTAAAAGCTTTGACTCTGAACTTTCCTGTAACCTGGCTGTAGTACATAAATTCACAAGTCATTTTATTAAAATGCCTGCATTAGCCCAAATTCGAGAGCCACACAAACTGTAGCCAGCAGCTAAGTCCCCCCATTTTTAGTATCTCCTTGCACATCCTCAGAGACATTGAAGTCATTTTTTTTTAGGCAGAAAAATAGGTATGAGCAGGGTGGAGAGAGAATAAGGCCAGTAAAGCAAAGGCAACGGCGAAGAAATCTGTATCCAGTCTGAACAGCAGCCTCCCGTAGGTCTCTGAAGGAGACCGAGATGAACATCTCCCACAGCGCGCCGTCCAGCGTGCTGGTCACTGGTCACATACAGCTATTTAAGACGTAATTTTAAATTAATGAAAATCCAGTTCCTGTCACGATTTCCAAATTTCAACTGTTACTAGCTACAAATGACATTTACATCATACTAGTTTTTTTGGACAGTGCTTAAGGTGAGTCTTGCTGGTCACTGGTCACATACAGCTATTTAAGACGTAATTTTAAATTAATGAAAATCCAGTTCCTGTCACGATTTCCAAATTTCAACTGTTACTAGCTACAAATGACATTTACATCATACTAGTTTTTTTGGACAGTGCTTAAGGTGAGTCTGTTAGGCAGAAAGGCATAGTTATGAGCGGGGTGGAGAGAGGCTACGGCCAGTAAAGCCCCCTAGAAGGGACTCGAAGAGTGAACCAGGTGAAACCAGGGAGCCAGAAGGCGCGCAGCTAATGAGTTAGTCAGTGGAAGCTTGGAATGTCCAGATACTCCCCAGATAAAAGTGTGGGAGCCCTGCCTGTGTCTTCATTGTGCCAAGTAGGTCATGCCATTGTAAGACTTACTCTGGCCTGCTAAAAGGCCCGCCTGTAAACAGCATAACAAAGACAGGAAGATTCCATCTTAGAGTTAAAATTGCATTTTAAAAAAGCCCAAGAAGTTAAGCAGGATTCTTAACATACTCTTTGGCAGACACAGTAACTGCGCACCTTGGAGGCCGGGCGGGCGGTCCTGACTCAAGCTGCCCTCCTGGGAGGGACCCAGAGCGGCCGGAAGGGCGCGGGGCGGTGGGCGGCGGCCCCGTGAAGGCTCGGCGTCGGGGGTCCGCGGAGTCGGCGGCACAGCCCGTGTGAGTGGGGCGACGGGGAGGCCCACGTGTGCGCACGGTGGGGGTGACGAGTGGGCGGTGGGGCCCGGGCGGGGGCAGGGGGGGAGGGTCCGGTGAGCGCGCCTGCCGGGGGTCGGGGCGGCGGCGTGTGCCAGCCCGTGAAACCTCAGGGGTGACCCTGCAGGTGTGCGTGTCAGGTGCGCTGGCTGCTGGGTCAGAAGGCACGGCTCCGGAGCACCTCCGTGCTCACGGTCAAGAGCTTGGTCTGGGTGGCGGCTACGCAGGTGCGCCACGCTGAGCGCTCCCACCTCTGCTTTAAAAAATGTCCTCTGAAGGCACAGACGCGCCTGCCTGCCTGGGTTCAAATCCTCGTCCACCTGTCACTTGCTTCACAACCTCTGAGATAACCTCTCTGTGTCCGTTTATATGTGTGTCACCTGTATAACGGAGGGTGGTGGCACCTCGTTGTCCCTGGTAAGGAACCCAGCCAGCATGACACAGCGAGCCCTGGGGAGGCTCTCGGCCTGGGGGTGGCCTGGGGCTGCCGTGGGGACCCGGCCTGGCTCGTGGGTGCTTTCCCACTTCAGAGGCAGGGGTCTGAGGGTTGCTTTCTGTGGCTCTCTGAGCCCAGTGGTTCCGTGCAGGACCCAGGACCCAGGAGGGGGTAGAGGGTGCGAAGGTGGTGTGGCCAGGCAGTGACCCCGGCGTTCTGTGTTGTGCCTCCTTTCGCAGACTCCACAGCACAGGGCCGGGCACCCATCCCCCTGGGGACCTGTCCCTGTTGTGCTCAGGAGGAAAGAGGCCCAGGGCAGGGATATGGCCAGCTAGTGGCACACACTGGGGCAGCAGGTCCAGGGCTTCTTGCTCCAAACCTGTGTCCAACCTGGGTGACCCCAGACCTGGGGCTGTGTGGTTCCTGCACGAGAGCCCAGTGGGGTGCCTCATCCCCAGACTAATTCTGGGAGCTGTGGGTCACCCCACCCATCCACATGGATGCTGCCTTCTCCCCAGGACGCCTCACCTTCACTGGTCGTGGTGGGGGCAGGGGAGCTGCTTCCCTGCAGAAGCTTGATTGAGGCAAGCACCTTCCCCTCTTGGTGCCTCAGTTTCCTTCCTGAAGGTCTGGTGGCACTTCCTCACTTGGGTGAAGCAAGGATCAAGCAAGCTGATGTAAGGTGCCCACAGGGCACACACATGGGCACTGGGGTTCAGCCAAGCCCAGGGTGGGCAGTGCCGGAGGAAGCGTGGTGTGGCAGGGGCAGGGCCTGGGAGAGAGGCCAGCGGCTGGTGAGGGGAGGCAGGGCTGTGGAGCCTCTGGTGAGGGAGTCTGGGGCCTGCAGGCAGGCGTACCCTCCCTCATACCGCCTCCCCCTCGCCAGCTCTTCCTGCTCACAGGGACACTGAGGGGGACAAGCCTGAGGCCCAGGACACCACAGACCCAGCACATGCCTTCCACATGAGTCCCCTCGGTGCTGGACTGGAGACAGGGCCCCTCCGGCTGCCCGCACCCCGCCTCCTCCTCCTGCCCCTCTCTCAGCCTTGTCAGGGCTCTGAGACCCCACACCTGGGACACATGCTCTCTGGGGCCACACCGCATCAGCCATTCACAGGAAAGGGGCAGAGCAGGGCTGGCACGTGGGACGCCCAGGAGGTATTGGCAGGCAAGGGAGGGGCACTGAGCAGCATTCAGAGAGGAGGTGGGGGCTCTGCGTGTTAGAAATGGGAGCAGTTACTCTGAAACAGGTGCGGCTCCCGACAGGCCCTTTCTCCACGGGGTCACCAACGAGACAGCCACACATGGGCAGAAGCGCTGTTGCCAGAGCCTGGGGGAGCTCCTGCGGGGGCAGTTAAGGCCAGGCTGGGGACCCTTGTGGCCCAGGGCACATGTGGCTGGCTCGGATGCCATCCCAGCCTCCAAGCCTCTCTCCTGGCCCTGCAGAGGATAGAGACCCCACAGGAGTGACAGATGGCTCCAAGGGGGGCTGGCAAGGGCCATCCAGCCATCCCTTTAGGGGCCCAAAGCTGAGCACTGGGAAGAGAGGGGTCAGTGTGCCACAGTGCGCTCAGGCTGCCGTGACACGGGACCACGGGCCAGCCATGTGGCATAGCCAGCGGACATTTGTTTCTCACAGTTCAGGAGGCTGGACGTCCAAGATCAGGATGCCCACATGGCAGCTTCTGGGAAAGCTCTCTACAGGTGGCTGTCCAGCCACCCTACCGTGTCCTCTCCTGATGGGTGGGGGGGCGAGCTCTGTGGTCTCTGCCTCTTCTTAGAAGGGCACTAATTCCAGCAAGGTGCCCTCAACCTGATGGCCTCATCAGCCTAATCACCTCCCAAAGGCCCCACCTCCAAAGTCCTTCCCAGTGGGGGTCAGGGCTTTACACACAGGAATTTGGGGGAGATACAACATTCAGGTGGGTCCATAGCAATAGTGCCAGCTCAGCCTGGGCCACTCGGAGCATGAGCTGTCAATGACAAGGGCATTTTCCAGAGCGTTCACATCCTGCCATCCCCATGGGGCTGGCCCTGGTCAGACAAACTGTGGCTGAGACAGTACATGTGGGATGTTCCAGAAGCCATTGACTGTTAAGGACGTGATCTTGGACTTCATGCAGGAGGAGTGGGAGCTGCTGGGCCTGACACGGGGGACCCTGTACCACGGTGGGATGCTCAGCAACTACGGCACCCCGGCGTCCCTGGGGGAGGCCTCTCTGCCCTCTTCATCCCCGTCACTCGTGTGTTTATGAATCCCCCGCTTCATCCTCGGCCACTCACACCCACGTGTGTCCTTGCTCTGAACCGTGTCCCCCAGCAGGTCTCCTGGGCAGAGAGCTTTCCTGTGCCTGGGGGCACACGCTGCACTGTTGGGCCTGTTGCGTCCAGGCTGACTTGTGGCACCAGCATCGACCTTAGCCTCCTCCTTTCCAACCAGGGGCAGGGCTTCCAGATTCCAAGCCAGACATGATCTCCAAGCTGGAGCAGTGGGAAAACCCTGGACTGTGGGGAGACAGGTCCCGAGAGGTCCAGGTGAATGAAGTAAGGGTCTTTCTGTTAGATCGGTTTAATCTTTTTCGATAAATTTTCCTCCAGCTTCACTGAGGTATTATGGACCGGTGACTGTATATTTAAGGCGTACAGTGTGTGCTTGAATATATGAAATGATTACCACAATCAAGTTAATTAATTCGGCCATGACCTCACATGGATATGACCTTTTTCCTGTGGTGAGAATACTTCAGATCAACTCCTCTGCCTGTACCACCCCCTTCCGGGCTGCTGTGCTCACAGGGACTCCAGCAGCATGCAGGCCCCTCGCCTCCACTCTCCCCCGAGCAGCCCTGCCTTGGAACAGAGAGAAATACTACAAAGAGCTAAGTCACAGCCCAGTCCTCCTCTGCTCAAAGGCCTCGGTGGCTCCCACCTCTCAGGGTAGAAACTGAGGTCCATGCATGGCCCACGGCCCCTCGAGATTTGTCGCCACAGTCTGCCCATTCTGACCCTACCCTCTCCCGTGCCCTTGCCTCAGTCCACTCCAGCCGGGCCTCCTTGCCTGTACCCATCTTGGCATTGGTATTCCAGTGACCCCAAACACTGCCTGAGTCCTTCCCTCTATTCAGGCCTCAGCAGAGATATCAGCTCCTCAGAAAACTGGCTTGCTTCTGGGACACCATCACATCAGCTCCATGAAGGCAGGCCATGCCTGTCCTCTCCACTGCAGCGCCCGATCTGGA